CGATATAGTGACGGTCAAGCCCACTATTCTTTGGTAAAAGAGTATCCCAAGAGTTAGCAGTGGGTGGTGATGACTAGCTGCTTTCCCACTAGTCTTACACTGCTAAATTAGGGACGGCTAGCGCAGATATCCCTCGTGTAGCTTTGCACGAAATTCATAACAAACAAATAAACAAGACTCCAAGGGTTTAGGTATAAGCATTTCTAATTTTGACCCAATGAATAGTAGTACTCACCGCCACAAGAGTTTTGATTGGCTCTTTGAAACGAATGACGAGATGACATCACTTTTATAATACGCCTACAGCTTATTAAAGTACGTAGCTTGTTCAGTGTCATCATGTCGAATACCCTAGATCCTTCGATCCACACCCACTAGGATAACCACTAGGCTATTCCCGTTTCATAAAGATGAAGTAATGAAAGGATTATCTTCAGCCTACATTGACTTTTATCATAAATATTATGCCTGTTAATTGATAAAACTTCATCAGCTTTTGCCGTTCAAATAATATCTTTAAACTTATTGTGCTGGATACATATAGAAAACGTTTTTTTGTAAACATTTCTATTCTTTATCCAGACGAGCTTACGAGTTCTAGTATTAAATGAAAGGCCTACTAGGCAGTGACCTATGGGATCACCACGTCGATCTTAAATGCCATTTTATATGTGCAGTCTCATGACTTTTATCAAAATTGTTTTTCAAATTTAATTGAAGAATAACTAGAACAATATAAATTTCACCTTTCATTGATAAGTATAATAAAGAATAGAAATATGCAAAAAACATCAAGCTGATATTTTAAATGAAAATAAAAATAGATATTAAAAACAATTTGGTATAGAACTTTCAACATAACTTAATACAAAACAAAAACTCGATCACTGATCATAAATCATCTTGGTTCATGTATATTACTGTTGTTAATTTAAATTTTCAAAAATAAAATTACTTACTACCATTTAATATCATAATCCAATCTAGCTTTTGCTAAAGATGGCAGAAAAGCAAAATCGTAACTCAGACTCTCTACGTGTAAGCTGTGATTATAAATTGTTGATAAGTTGTAGTCTGTATAGGTTAGTTTTGTATTGAATACGGTATAATATTGTTAGCTAACATGAAAGGTTCTGGTATGGCTTGGTGATTAGGGCACTCGACTCGCAACCTACTGGTCACCGGTTCGAATCTTGTCATCGAACATGCTCATCTTTTCAGCCGTGTGGGCGTTATAACGTGACGGTAAATCTCATCTTTTGTTAGTAAAGATTAGCGTAAGAGTTGGCGAGGGGTGATGTTGACTAGCTGCCTTCCTTCTAGTCTATCACTTCTAAGTTAGCGACGTATATCGCTGATTGCTCTTGATTAGCTTAGGACGAAATTCAACGAACAAATCCTTTACGTAAAACAGTATAATCTATAAACATGAGCAACAGTTGTTTGTTTTTTTCGTTTATTACATAAATACCTTAATCTGAAAACGTTATTTTGTACTGACTAAACATAAATGATGCGCAACTTTTGTATATAATAATAATGCACGTGTTTTGTGTATGTTTGTGCAAAGTGAATGGCGAAGGATATATAGACTGCATTCATGTGTTTAACACAGGATCTCTGTCTCAACCAGAAGTGAAGTGGTGTTTTTGGGTAGCAGACCAAGGAAAAGAAACATTCCGGTAATTGTGCATTGATGGGCTTGCATATATCGTTAAAAAGTTCGAAACCTGCTGTATCTAAATATTCAATCCATATGATGATAACGTATTTCAATAGGGAATTATGAGTAGTCAAAGAGACACAAGGTTTCGGAGTGGCCAAATTACATTACCAGCAACGGTCACACGCACGAGCAGATTATCTTCTTTTTTTGATTATCAAATATAATTGTGCGATTTTTCTTCATTGTCTGTTTCAGAATGGAGGTCTTGCTCTTGGTATTCTGATCTAGCCAAAGGCTATCACTACTACTATCACTTTTGTCCTTATCAGCACCAAGTCTATTTTTGAGTGCCGTCACAGCATCTTTGAACTAAATAGACGGATTTGCCTCAACAAGGGCTGTCGAAAAGTTCAACGTGACTGATCCACAGCGGTTACTCGAATTACAAGTTGAACAACTCGAGACCTTGCCTATGGTGAGTTATAATGACATGTCGAAGAGTAGCAAAGTTCCGATCACGGTCAGCGTGGCTTGGAGCTATCTGCTGAAGACCTGATGGGCTCTGGTCACGTCAATCTGAAAACTCAAATGCAACGACAGGCGTAAAAGGGTCACGTAGTGGACCCATGAATCACACAACAAGTAGTTGTTATTAACTACGTGATTTCTGCTGTTGATGTGACCACTCACAGTTCAGTCAAGCTTTGATTTGATTTGGTAATTGTACATTGTAATCGTAAGCTACCTCGTTGACAAGTTTCACCAAAATATGATAAATCCCAGATTTTTTTACGTCCAATCCCTGCCACCGAGCGCCTCTGATTGAGGGAGAGATCCTGTATTAAAGTGAATATTTATTGCTCCTATACATACACACACACTTATATACAACATGTATAACAGACACTGGCACAGAAACTTACAAAGGGAATGAAAACACAGATAAATATTTTGTACTACTAGTCCTGATGAAGCCACAATGGCGAAACGTTGACTGTAATAAAAAAAGTTTTCTTTATTATTATTACCTCTAGAGTAAAGGTAATTTTTTCAAATTCTATTGCTAAACTGTGCAAAAGTAGAAGTAAGAAGAAGTTGACAGAATTTCAACAATATATACAAATCTTAAACCTTCTCTTTTTATATTCAGTTTTAACGTGTGTTGATAAAAAACAAGAAAATGAAAAATAACAGACTGACACAAGACTCAATATGTCACATCTGTCAAAGTGAGTACTGATGCTTTAACTTGCTTTAATATATTTTTATTATTTTCAATTCCAAATGAATTAACAGCTTGGGGAGATAATTACATAACCACTATCGGTAGCAACTCCACAAGTCTGAATACTTCTTTCTTTTTTTTCACTTTGATGTTAAGTCTGTTTTACTTATAAATGAATGACTAAAACTAACTTTAATACCTTAGAATATCTTTGTGGATCTTTATAAAGTTTTCTTATTACTGTATCCCCTAATTCTGACTGATAACACTACAGCATAAATGAAGCAAGATTTGTAGTAAACTTGTAAAAATTCCTCACTAAAGTATTTTAAACATGCTGAAGTAAATGTCTGAAATAATTAAATTCCTTCATTAGAAATACTTTGTAGTGTTTAAAATGAACAAAAAAAATCGTTACCAAAGCCCTAGTTATTACCTGTAAAATTAAATTTATCCAAAGCACTCTGTACTTCTTCAACAGTTTTGTAATCTTGCGGGAGAAAGCTATTGACACAGTAGAACTAAAGCTGACTGCACCAAATCTTGTCCCTTGTTCTCTGACACCCATCTGAAAATAAAATAAATACATGCTTGACACAGTAGAACTAAAGCTGACTGCACCAAATCTTGTCCCTTGTTCTCTGACACCCATCTGAAATAAATAAATAAATAAATACATGCTTGACACAGTAGAACTAAAACTGACTGCACCAAATCTTGTCCCTTGTTCCCTGATACACATCTGAAAACAAAAATAAATAAATACATGCTTGACACAGTAGAACTAAAACTAAAACCGGAAGTAATAAATAAAATTAAACCTTATATAGTAGCCAAAATGTATACACAATAAGATTCGAGAAAGCTAACAATAATGATAAAACTAGATAAATCTTTACACTTAAAACTGCTTTCTGCTTTTCTTCAGAAAACAAGATAAATCTTAAATTTTTTAATTCGTCATTGTGACAAAAGAAAATATTGAATAAAAATATAAAAATCCTACAGTAAATAGTTATGATATATATATATATTTCAATCAGGGAGACTTATGTTAAATCTTTAATAGAGGAACGAACATTAGTGATTTATAAAATTTTATTGCTGTAAAATACTAAAATAAGATATTAAACGTACACGTTTCACAAGTGCCTTTGCAAATTTTATCGCAGAGTAGAAATATTTCTCTCCAACACTTCCCGAGGCATCAAAGACAAAATAAATTACAAGTCGTCCAGGGAAATTAAGGTCAATCATTCTGCCTCTATCCGAACTCGGCAAGTTTTCGAATAGCTTTTCTTGCTCTTCTTCTTTTTCCTCCAACAGCTGCGTTACACGTATCATCATATCTATAGGCCTGTCGCTGAAGTAAGGCTCTGTCAAGTTACAATAATAACCAGCTTTGAAAACACAGAAATAAATCTCACATATATAATCAAGAATAAAGTATGCACACTAATAACACAGTTGGTAAGAGGTGTCGATATTAATGAAGTACTTATGAAAATAAAACAAAACTTACTTTTTGCCAAAATTATCGTTCCTATTTTAAAATTTAATAATTAAATAACTAAGGAAATACAAAAATACAGCTTTCAATATCTTGTAGCCCAACTCAAAGAGTTTTTATTGACAGGTCAGTACAGTTCTATGTGTTCACCGTTATTAGCTGTCTGCACGTCTAACCGATATTCGATTTCAGTCCACGTTCGGTACAACATGTCTACAGTTACAGTGACGATAACATCTGTTATCTGGTGTTTAGCTCTGTGATGTCCTTAACGATATCCTTAACATACCCCCAAAGAAAAAAAGTATAGTGGAGGAAATATTAATCATATTTTTAGACATAAATTTATCTATAACACTCTCTTGCAGAATTTTCAACTGAAAAATATCAACGATGTAAGTCAGAGATTCTAGACGTGTATTTGATAAAATAATGGAATACTTTATTTGAATTTCATATGACGAGGGCTATCGGTGCTAGCCGTCGCTAATTTAGGACCCACCACCAACTCTTGAGCTACTCTTTTACCTATGAATAGTGGAATTGATCGTTACATTATAACTCCCCGTTCCTAATTTTGAACTTACAGACTGTAACTTACAGATTG